ACATCGTATTCAGCGATTTACCATTAAGGATCTGTCAAATGCTTTCAAATAGGTTTCATGATCAGACTTCGTATTTTTTTTTTTTTTTTTTTACCATGTTAATGCTTAGTATATAAACATGATATAGAAACCAATAACATATTATTATGACTAGTACGTAATTAAGGGACACTCGATACTATAAGTTTCTGTTTTATTAGTAAAGATTAATATAATGGGACAAAAAAATGAAGCTATTCACATAGGGTAAATTATGAAGAAAGATTACATAATCAATATGGTGGGGGACGGGACAATAGAACCCACCAACCCCGCCAACTGTCTTCAATGCAGCTAACATTGACAATGAAATGAGCTGGCATAAAGATAGCGTTATCGATAACTTTTCTAACTTGATCTTTATCTGACTAATATCATTATCATTGGATGATTATTAAGAGGGGCAGCTGAGACTGCCTCATTCCATCATAATCCATTAGCGTAAGCAGCTAGGGTGGGACATTAGGTACCGTACTGTACGTAACTTATCACCGATACGCTCACCTCAACATTAATGCAATCTTCACTTTCGACAACACATCAATATTCTCTATAGGCGGCGTTTCTTTTCTTGTATTTACTTGGCCGAAACAGCATAGATCCCTTTGGAACTCTATTCTTTCTCGCCTCTTCTCGCCGTCTAAGAACCCATCTATCGTTCATGGTCATTCATTACTATGGATCCGAATGAACAATCACAACCGACCCTGCCGCCGCAGGAGCAGGTATGCGACAGTCATCAATACTCGATTATTTTGGAAGCTAACTTATTTGCTTATTACTATTAGATGCGCCAAAGGCGGCTTGCGAAGCTTGGTGGTCTAAATGCGACACCGTCCAGCCCGAAACCAGAAGATGTTACTAAACCTGAGCCTCCGACCTCGCCAGCGTCGCCGGCCTCGTCGCTTTCGGCTGCTCTGCCAAAGCCAAATGTGACGAACCAAGAGAATACTCGGCCAAGTTTACCGAATCCACAAACCAGCTCCGCCTCTTCGCCATCCACAAGCCAATCTCCGGCGATAACCCCATTTTCCAAGCTCGATGGGAAAAACAAGACAGAGCCTGGAAATAATATCGTAGAGGATTCAGGTAACAAACGTGTCTCCAAGAGGCCATACGCAGCTATTGACATAAATACGACAGCTATGCCATCCAAGAAGATACATCTTGCAAAAGAAGAGACGTTAGAAGATTGGTCGAATCGGGTGCTGGGCGACATATTCCGCATCACGCTTGACGAGACTCACACGACCGACAGCAGGGGTACCAAGCTGACCTACTTGCCAGAACTCAAAACTGAGCTGGAACAATCTGGCGAGCCGATGAAACTAACTGCTTCGACAATTGATTCGGCAATCCTCGAAGCAGCCAAATATGTACCCACGAGTAAGGCGCTTCTAGACTACCTGCTGCCATGCTGGAAGCGTGTTGTCAAGGCTACTAAGCCCGCTAGACCCTTATCATCCGAGAAAGAAGCTGTTTTGAACGAAGCTAAGCGGCTGTGCATGAGCAATTGCATATTTGCGCTTACTATGCCTGAATACTTCGGGTATGTTATTTCCCAAACCGTATGCGTGCGTTTCTTGTACTGACTACCAGCAGCCGTGATCCTAATCCGAACCACGATTCTCTAGTGCCATACCTTCTTCGGCACCACGATAATGAGGACGGTATCTGTTTAGATTTCTTTGCTGAGGCCATTGCTCGTATACCGGAAGATGATACTGTTGCTCCTATCTTCGTAGATGCCATGGCTACCATGAGTAAGAGACTTGCCACGATGACTATGAATGATGATTATAGACCATACATCAATGTAAGCCCATCTTTTTCTTCCCTTTTTTTTCAGAATTTCTATGTATGCTGATAATGACAGTGTTTGGTTACATACGCAAGATTCCCACCATTGCTCAATGCACTTGCAGAGCATCCCAACTTCCGAGTAAACCCCACGCCAGATATGTCCAAAGAACAAATAGCTTTGGCAAGCGAAACCGAAACTATCTTGGGGCCATTTTTTCGCATATCACCACTACAGACTGAGGTTACTAAGACCTACTTTGTCAGCCCACGAACAATCGATGCGGGCCACGTGAAGTCATCTCAGAGTGCCCTTCAGATGTCACTAAAGGCTCATCAAGTTGACCTCGCAAACATCACAAATGCTTTTGTTCGCGCAAGCCCAAATGCCCGAAATAGTACTCTCGACTGGTTTGCATTCGTGGTCAACACAAACCACAAACGGCGTGCCCTCCAAGTCAAGCCGACAGAAGTAGCCTCAGATGGCTTTATGGTTAACGTGACAGCTATCTTAGACCAACTATGTCAACCTTTCATGGATACCACATTTTCCAAGGTAGATAAGATTGACGTTGACTATTTACGACGTAATCCTCGAGTCGACATGAGTGACGAGACCAAGCTCAACGCCGATCAGGCGACTTCGGAAGCGTTCTACAAGACACACGTCCCAGGTTCCTCTAATTTCATCTCGGAGGTTTTCTTCTTAACCCTAGCTGCCCATCATTATGGGCTTGGGGCAACAAACTCAAAGCTCAAGGATCTTGACAGAGATATCAAGTATGTTGAGGGCGTTATAAAACAGATCGAAGGGGAGTTACCCAAGCTACAGAACGTGAGCCACTTCTCCCCTAGCGCAAATTATTTTTGCCGTTGCTAACAATGTTAGGACCCATTGCGTCTTGCCGTAGCAAGGCAACATCACCAGAATGCTATCAATGCAGTCGAAAAACATATAGCGCTCAAGTATTCTATCGAAGGAGTAGTATTAGACTCGTCTATGCAGACACTATCCTTACAATTCATGAGATACGTATCTGTGTGGCTTCTACGAATTGCTAGCGGAACAGACTACATACCAGGCAAAACTATTCCACTTCCTCTCCCCAGCGACATACCCGAGGCCTTCAGCTGTCTCCCAGAGTACGCCCTCCAGGATGTCGTTGAGAATTTCAAGTTTGTTTTCCGGTAAGTATCCCAATAGACTGTCCAGACTAGCATGACGCTTACTTCCATATTAGTTTCGTGCCCGATATTTTGGTATCTGCCGTTGGGGACGAGATAATCACACTATGCATTACCTTCTTGAGGTCCTCGGAATACATCAAGAATCCGTACCTGAAGTCATCTCTCGTCACGTTATTGTTCTCTGGGACATGGCCGTTATATCATCTTAGTAGGGGAGTTCTAGGCGATACTTTGGTCGGATCAAAGTTTGCCAATGAGCATCTCCTACATTCACTCATGAAGTTTTACATTGGTGAGTTACATCGTATCGTTCTAGCTACCATATGCTAACAGCACTAGAATGTGAACATAGCGGTGTCAGCTCCGCATTCTACGATAAATTCAATATCCGTTACGAAATATTCCAGGTCATCAAGTGCATCTGGCCAAACAGTGTTTACAAAGATCAGCTCAGCCAGGAAAGCAGGTCAGTCGGAGAAATATTAACCCATCGGTGGCTTCATCTAACCATGTCTAGGGTTAACCGACAATTCTTTGTGCAATTTGTGAACCTACTTCTAAACGATGCGACGTACTTATTAGATGAGGCATTAACCAAACTCGTTGCGATACACGACTATCAGAAACAATTACATGATGACACACTATCCCCTGAAGATAAGGAGAAGGTCAGGGCGGACCTGGAAACCGCTGAGCAGCAATGTCAGTCATGGATGCAGTTGGTGAACGATACTATGGGAATGATGAAACTGTTCACGGCGGCATTACGTGACGCGTTTACCATGCCCGAGATAGTGACTCGGTTGGCGGGCATGCTGAACTACAATCTAGAGTCCCTGGTTGGTCCGAAACGGGGTAACCTCAAAGTACAGGATGCTAGGAAATATCATTTCGACCCGAAGACCCTTTTATCTGACTTCATAAACATATATATCAACCTATCACCGAAACCTACCTTCATCGAAGCAGTTGCTGCCGACGGCCGCTCATACAAACCGGACAACTTTAATGAAGCCACCAAAGTGATGGAACGCAGTCTTCATGCAGCGCCCGAAGTCATCTCCACTTGGAAATCTCTAGTAGGCAAGTTCGCCGAAGCTAAGCAACGTCTAGATCAAGCCGAACTCGATCTGGGCGAAGTACCTGATGAATTTGAGGATCCCCTGATGGGTGATTTGATGACAGATCCGGTCATTCTGCCGTCACAGAATATCGTTGATCGGTCAACGATTGTGCAGCAACTGCTCTCTAACCCATTAGATCCCTTCACTCGAAAACCGATGACTATCGACGACGTGACTCCAGCTAATGACTTGCGTGCCCGGATTGAGGAATGGAAAGCCGAGCGGATAGCAGCTGCTAGAGCTAGAGTATCAGAGGGGGATGCCATGGATACAACAGCAGGTTAAGGAGGGTCCCGAACGAACCCTACAACTTTTGTACCACCAAACAATGGATGATTAAATTATCACCTAAGAGTATAGCACAGACGGGTGGTCTCGAGCAAAGCCACAGACAGATGGTTATGCATTTTTCTTAGACCGCAGGGTGTGTATAACGGTTCTACTTGGTCCATATGCGGTGAGCTTGTGGATTAGCTTTGCGAATCAATGATAGATACCTACCTAGGTACCGTATGTAATCAGCATGATACAATACATAAGTGGCCATGAAGTGCATTGATTACCCCTATTCCTCCTTAGCCGGTTTGAATGACAGCATCCACGCATCAGTTAGTTCCTTACTCATTGTGAAATAGATGTACTCTCGTCTTATCATATTCCAGCATTTTTCGTGCCAAGTATACAGAAGTATGCATTACCTAAAAATGATTCCTATCGCCGCTTTAACCCGAATACGATGCGCAAGGACACGGCATAGCTTAAGAACTAAGCCTATCTGCTTACAAGATATGTGTGTTGGTTGTTGGTTTTGCAACTATTAAAAAAGTATTTCAGGCCCGTCTGTGTGATTTGACCAGTTTTCCTTTCTTTCCTGCTTCATCTTTATTATTGATCTTGAATGCCAGGTATTTCCACGAGCTACTCAGCGCAGACAGACATTTTTCTACAAATACTGACACTATACTCGCCATGGCAGATTTCAGAGCAGTTCTACAGAAGACAGCAAATGCTTTTGTAGAAAATAACACTCTCGCGGTGAAAAAAAGGGACACGTCCTTGTTCTCTGCGATTCTGACAGAGGATTGCATTCGGGTGTACCGGCCCCTCTCCTTCATCCAGAGGTATCCGCAGTTCTTCAAAGCCCAGATCACCAACGCCGACTACGAGGCCCAGATGCAAGTCGAGCTCCAGACTATGAAAGACGTGTCTCAGAAAATTACCAGGACCGTAATCGACGCGACTGAGCGTAGGGCTACTTTGTGGAGCGAGCAGACTATCCTAACGGCCAACGGATCTACCAGCAAGGTCGAAGTAATTTGGGATCTGGATTTCTCGGAAGATGGAACTCGCGTCTCGCAGATCACGGAGTTCGTGGATACTTATGAGGCTACTAAGGTGCTGGAGCAGATGCTAGTTAAAGCAGGCGCCGAGTAATCGACGTTAATTATACTCGGGGTTTCTCTAAGGCGCAAGAATGATCAATTAATTGGCTATTCTGGCATGTAATATTATACCCAGGTAGATATAGTCTGTAAACTTCTAGCGCATTGGAAGATGTCGAGCTCTTACATAGAACCCCTTTTCTCTTCTGTTCTATTCGGCCAACCGCATTCGCTCAAGCAGGGATCTCTAGCAGGCTCTTGACAGTGTCGACAGCAGCCTTCTCAACGGGAATCCAGTCGATGCCTAGGACATTGCTGGTGCGTGAGTTATCGTAACCAAAGGTGGCGGCCGGTGTCTCAGCGCCCGGGGCGAGCTTGACGTTGTCGTCAGGCAGCTTATCAGCTAGTTCCGGGAACCCTTTACGAACAGCACGCGCAAGCTGTACATTATCGTAGAAGCCAGCTGTGGTGAAAAAACGTTGGCCACCCGCCTCGGGGGTCACCATGGCCTTGATATGAGCGAGCGCGACATCCCTAACATCGACCCACAGCCAGACACCAGACGTTGGGATCTCCTCCTTCCACTTACCCTGGATCAGATCCACGAACCGCTGGTTGCTCGTGTTGATATCTTTTAGCGAGTCCAGATGGTGCGCGACGGGACCAAAAACCATAGGCGGACAGACGGTAGCGAGGTCGAACCCGGGCTTTTCCTGCTCGACGAAGTCCCAGGCTGCCTTCTCGGCGTACTTCTTCGATACGCGGTAAGATGTGGGGGGAGGCCCCTTAAGTCCGTCCTCGTACCTATAACAGGCAATTAATTAATCCTCGCGAGTCTACTTGGGAAGAATAGGTAACGTTATCGGACTAACTTACGTGCTCGGGTTCCAGTCTGCCTCGCTAAAGACTTTTGTAGTGTCACTCATCTTGCTCTCGGACATGATAGCGGCGAAGGAGCTGGTGACGATAACGCGCTTGACGCTGGGCGCATACTTGGCAATAGCCTGAAGGATGCCCTTAGTGCCATTGATAGCCGGGTCTAACAATTCCGTACGCGCATCCGTAAACTTGAAATGGAAGGGCGACGCCGTGTGCTGCACATAATCTATTCCAGGAGTGTTGGCTATCAACTCGTCAAAGGCGTTGGGCACTGCGATGTTGGGCACGATGGCCACCGAGAGTTTTGCGCCGGGGTATTTGGCGCGAATTTGAGAGGCCTTAGTCTCGGAGCGGACCGTCGTCACCACTTCATAACCCCCTTTGAGCAGAAGCTCGAGGACGTGGGCTACGGGGATTTGTCCATGTCAGGCGTGGGTTGCGTAGGATAGGTTAGGTAATTTACGCGGGCTTAACTCACCGGCAATGAACCCAGAACCGCCAGTCAGTAGTACCTTGGGCATTTTTATGATTTATAGTAAAACTGTTAACTGAGATGTATGAGTGAGTGGATATGATGCTGATGAGAGAAGACTGCTTATTGAATACTTGGTACCTATGCTTGAGAGCCTACCTTATATATGCTCAAGTGGTTATCTCGATGGCCCCTCCAACTTCTATTCATCCGAGGGTGATTAACTGGATGGATGTATGGCAACATCGCGGGGTTCCATAATGGATTGTAGCAACGTCACCAAGTCAAGCTTAGTTCACTCCACCATATTTTTTCGGGAATAGCAATTATTATTGGCCCAATATTTAGGTGAAATCACTAATCCGATATTCAGTCTTCTACTTGTCTACTTTAGGTACTTTCTAACTACCATAGAAAGATGAAAACATATCAGCATATGTCGGCGTGAGTCACGAATAAAGGGGCGTAGATCCCCCGGCATCCAAGAATACCCGGTTTTTTTTATACCCGTGTCCATGTAAGGGGTCCCGTATCTATAGGACTTTAACTAAGGCCGAAAATATCTATTTGTACAGCTGAAAGACACATACGTTAGCCGGTCGTCAATTGATCTTCGGCGTTTACAATCGGCTAGTCCGTAGCATTTAACGGCGGGCAATAAGGCGAAAACCGCTAAACCGTTAATATATTAAAACAATTTATAGGTTTAAATATTAAAATATTAAAATATTAAAAAAATAAAACAATAAAATAATAAAAAAATAAATATATATATATTTTATAATTATTAATATATATAAATAATATATTAATTTAATTTTATATATATAAATAATGTTATAATTTACGTATAATATAATGTAATATTTTTTAAAAAAAATAAAATATATTTAAAAAAAAACTTATAAAAAAAATAAATTATTATAAAAAAATATTTAATAATTAAAAATAAAAATAATAAAATAAAATTTTATAAAAATAATAATAATAAATTTTATTTTTTAAATTAAATATTTATTATAAAAATATAAAAAAATATAAAAAAAA